ACACAAAGAAATGAATACAAAACTGTTATGTAGTATCTGTTCTCCACTATGGCAGTGAATGCTGGGCAATCTCCTCACAGATGAAGACACCTGATGCAACAGAAATGTGGTTCTACAGAAAGATACTGAGATTACCATAGATCAAACATGTCGGCAATGACAGCTCTAGAGGCAATGGCAACAAAAAGAACACTTCTACTTAACATCAGATATAGTTGAAATTTCTGAGATACATAATGAGAAAAGAGGGGTTGGAAAATTTGGTACTCACAGGACAGATTGAAGGTAAGAGGGTCAGGGGAGAGCAATGCCCAACCTCCCTGGTGAGCTTGAGAAAATGGATGGAGGAGCAGGGTTTGGGAAGGATTTCAAAAAGACAAAAGTTATTAAGAGCTACAAAAGACAGGAAATTGTGGAGAGCCATGATCACCAACGTCCTGAATGAACACAGTATCTAGAAAAACAAGAACCAGGAATGTGTCCAAGGACACCAATCTAAACTCTGACAAATTGAGATTTTCAGACAATCGAGAGTGTTACTATTGATGAAAATAATTTATTTCTCTATTGGATCATGTTATTTAATTCATGGCAGTTATCTGTGAAAAATAATATTGCCGAAATGTCTGCCAAATCTGAAAGAAAAAGAAAAAAATCATTAGATTTTTAAACTTAATTCACATTAAAATATGTCCAAGTTATTGGAGCAGCCTTTATCCTACAATAATGTTTCCATGGTTGAAATTGCCAAAGATTTAAGTTGTTAAATCTGAAAGACAAAAAATCATTAGACATTTAAACTTAATTCATCTTAAAATTGGTACAAGTTATTGGAACACCCTTTACTATTATAAATTAATGTTTCATGCAAGTTTTTCCATCTTCACATTAATGAGAAAGATATAGACCCATATCCCCTCGCAACTATGGGTTAAATAACAGGTTAAGTATTTTCATGATAATTGTGCTGTTGAGCTTTCCTCTTTGGTATCTTCACAAATTTAAGTGCAGGTAGTAGACAGTTGGGTCTCATAGTTTCATTGTTGAACTAGCTAGATGAAGCCATAAGTTCTATACTAATAGTTTCTTCTCATGTACTTCTCACTTGTGGAATTAAGTTCTTGTTTTCCTGTCAACTTCGATCTTCAACAATTTAAATGCAACATGAATTGTCATTTCCTGTCTTCATTTGTACCCTGTTATACCAAGGGGAGTACATGCAGACCTAAATATAAACAACATGTTTATCTACTTGACACCAGTCTGACTTAATGTTTCCAGGAAATTTTAAAATTGATCCAAGTTATTGGAACGCCTTTTATAACAACAACGACCAACAGTTGTGCTCAGCTTCATGAAACAAACAGAATTCTGAATGTTGCAGAATGTTAAGGCAGCCTATTCCTATCATGGAGATCTGGGCAACAAATTGTCTACTTAAGTTCCTTTTAGATTTGGCTAGATTGATCCAAGATGATATCCATTCAGTCATCATCCAGTGTTACACTTCAAGAGGTCCAAACCCTTGCTCCAAAAAAGGAGAATTTTAAATATCAAGCTGAAGAACTTTTTTTAAGCAAAAGAACCCAAATATCTTTGAGCAATCATAGATTAATATAAATAAGAATTGGGGCACCTCGAGGCAGTGTAATGGTTAGCAAGCTTGTCTCGCTAGAACAATTTCGACTGAGTAGTGAGTTCGATCCTCATTGGGTGCCTCCCTGCTTTTGGCCTTGTGCCACATCTGAGCTATGCTTGGAAAATCACTATAAATAAAAATTGTTATATTTTAAGAACAGGATTGGTGATTAATTTTCCATTGCCTGCTTGGAATCCTGAATCTGCCATCGTTCTCTTTCTATGTTTCTGTATTTTTTTTTCTTTTTCAGGCAAAAGTTGTTACTCCAATCAGAAAATTCGCCATCTGGAAATTGGCAACTTGTTATATGTCTTTTGTTAACTTGGATTTTGGTTTTTCTTATATTGATCAAAGGAACACATTCTATGGGGAAGGTAAGATATTTCATTTACATTGCAATGATTTTTTTTTTTTTTTTTCTTTTTAAATTAGAGCCATAAATTAATAAGTTTTATTTATTTATTAAAACTTTTCCTATTTAATGAAGTTTTACAGCATTCATATTTTTTATGATTCTTTGCAATCCTTGTCACCACTTTTGCGATGTTGGACAGCTTCACTTATCCCTTTTGCTATGTCAAGTGAAAGCTCATTATCACTTCCAACAAATGCTTGTTATATTCAAGACTTCGTAGACACCCATACTAGTACTATTGCCTTCCAATAATTATAATGGCACTAGTAATACTTGTTCAAGTAGTAATCGCCAAATAGTATTATGATCAGAAGAAAATCGTAATCCTTATGGTAGTAGAGAGAATGAATGTATAGCAATAGTGGATAGACAAGAAGAGTGAATAGTGATTCTTACGCTACTTCGTATTTATTCACTTCCTTTATGATCACATGATATACTTAATAAGGGAATTGCCTGTGTTACTCACTGGCAATCTAGTTTCAAACCACAGTGTCGGTAACAACACTTACTATTATACAGCAATATTATAATGGGATTTCCAAATTACTATTTCCTATCATTATACTAATTATATTCCATCTTATTATTGTTGCTTTTTTAAATGAAGCACTTTCAATATTATTTTATTGCAAGTTTTATTCCATCTTATATGACACTCTTGTTAATGTTAAACTTAATTATCCAGTCAGTAGTCGAAGCAGAAATATAGAAGTTGAATATTGGTTTGGTTTATGGCTAATCAAATTTCCAGATGATTTAATTTCAGAAATCAGAAGGGAGGTCCACAGGTGAAAACTGTGAGGAGAAACTCTTAGGAATAGTGGAGGCATCAAGTGAGTTTCTCAGTAAAATGCTGAGACCTAATTGCCAATCTAGTAGTGCACTTCAATTCATGCAGTCAGGCATCAAAGAGGAAAGATCATCAGAACCATTGTCATAAAAATATTTGTAGAAAAGATAGAGGGAAGCCACATCAGGGCAGTGCGAAAGTGACTGAAGACGAGATGCCAGGTCATGATCGATAACATTACAGACCCTTCATTGAATTTTGTCAAGAATCTTGACATAGTAAGAGTACCAGCCCAGGTATAGCCACAGTATTCAATGCACAGATGAATGATAAATTTATAAAGGAGCAAGATGGATTCTGATGAGAAGAAATTTCCTAGCAGTAGATGTAGCAATTGAAGTCAGGAGAGTCCAAGTATTGCTCTTGTGGAGGTTAGCATCAGCCATGCTGATGGTAGGCAGAGAAGGTTCTCTGTGGTGATTCCATTATAACAGGAAAGAGCTATGTTAGAAAGGTTTATTCTCCCATTGTATTTTCCTCATTATGGGCATTGTTATATCCGTGATATAATAACACCATTCTTTATAAACAAAAAAGAATGGCTGAAAGGAAAAAATGCTTTGTTCTCGGAGACTTTTATACCACTAAGACATGCATATAACTATATTACATATATGTGTGACTTCCGAAAAGAATAATATATCACATATATCTAAACAGTGAACAGAGTGTAAGAAGAAATCAAAATTAAGGCTTTTAGATATAATATGGAGATACTCCTGCTTCTGGAGAAGCCATGTTTAGGACTCCAGATTCATCTACTATGTTCAAGGCAAGGACATATTCTATGAACAGGAAACGGTGAGTCATGGGTTTTCCTGAATTAGAGGACTTCAAGCTGGAATTTCTTTCTATGTCTGAGAAAGATACATTTCCAAAGGGAACCAACACCAAGTGTTTGCATGCTGCTGGGGGGAGGCAGATTTAGCTAAAAAAAAGTAACTGCTTGGTTTGGCTGCTGTAAAAAAAACTGAATGACTGGCCACTCTTGTCACTGTATGAAGTGCCATCACTAAGCAGCCATGACCTGACCCATGTGACTGATCTCTACCAAAGGGAGATAAGCACCTTTTGTATCCCTACAGCTTGAAAGAAGTTTTGTTTTGGAGGCATGAAAATTTAAGACATTCATGGCCCCATTTAACCACTGATTGGTATCCTTTTTTGAGAGCTTGATTCTATGTCAGATCAGTTGGACTTGCTACTAATATGGGAGTAAATAGATGTCATCTTCATAGATACCTAGTTGAGAACTGATGACATCAGGAAGGTTGTTGATGAAGATAAGAAACAACATAGGTCTGTGGATAGAACACTGGGGTACTCTTCATTAATGTAAAATGAACTAGAAGTGTGTCCATTCAACTTGACTTTCATTACATGATTTCCTAAGAACAATTGGATTAGACCAGATATTAAAATCTTCTTGCAGATATGTCTTAAAATAGTAGGGGAGACTGAACTCTGTAATTGATGTAGGGTAAACAGTTTAGGTTAAGGCAAATTCAAACTGTGACAAAGTCTGCAGGAAATTACTTGAATACCTTTCCTCAGGGCAGGCATAGTGATTGAAAATTTACTGATACTAAAGAAAAATGAGCTGTGGATAGTCCTGACTGATTATCTCCCGAAGAGACATGGATTTTTACAATATGCTAATGAGGAAGGCTGCAGAATGGATTGGTCAAAATATAACAAAAGTAAGAAAAAAAAGACAAGATTAAACTACACTTGGAATGAAACATGCTTTTCTCAGAGTTACAGAAAGTACTTTTTTTTTCCGCATACTGAAGACAGGCAGGGAAATAAATCTGCAGAAACGTGGTCACAGTAAACTCAACAAAAAAAAAAAAAATATGAGATCACTGGCAGCAAAACTCTTGAAATGATAATGACTTGTCTTGAAATTAGAGAAGATGGTTTGAAGAAGGCTGTAGCGTCTATCTGTCTAAATGTAACAAAAAAACAAACAAAAATAAAGGAATCAATTGAATACATTTTAGAATCCTTTTTTTGTGTTTCAGTATGATTTTTTTGTTTGTTTGATCAATTTGTCTTCTGCATAATATTTTTATGAATGACTTTTCTAGGTG